TCTTTTCCAAAGCAACATATCCTTAAATCCAAATTTTGAAGTCAAGTTACCTTTAAAATATGCATATTGGTTTAATTCAATATCTTTTTTGATCAAATGTTTTTTTGTAGTTAAAAATCCCAAAGACAACACAATCCAGATTGTCTGTGTAATATTCATCTTTACGTGGCTTTTTACATTAATTTGTCTCTTTCAAGCCTACATATATTTTACACACATTGTAAACGATGTTATCTGAATCAGTCTTTTTGTGAGCCTATTGCTTTAAACTGCATCCGTCTAAACCTGAAACAGCGCTGTGGCTGCTGGCTCCGCCCACTTCAGCTTCCCAACATGGCAATGGTACGTTTTCCGCCAGCTCTGGGAGTCATCAAGTCTCAGAAATAGTGGGTTTAAGCTTTTATCAAGGCAGCATGTAGCCCAGAAACCTTTTTTTAAAAAAATACTAATAAAGACTAAATCTACTACACAGAATAATGTGCCCTGGCAGACCCCTCATTCCCGCCATACTGCCGGTCAAACACACACGCCAGGAACCCGCCAGTGTTCAAACCTGTGTTTTGCAGCATCTAGCTGCTCATATGAGACAAGAAGCAGGAACCTGGTTTTGGCTCTGTTTAGAATTGGTTATTAAATATTCTCAGGTTTAAGGTGGAAACTCGAGCCGTTGGGCGCCATTTGTTGCTGGAGAGCTTCTCTCCAGGTTCCCCAAGCCCCGCAGTCCCACAATCCACTTATAAAATAATCACTCAGACGCTTATATCACTTATAAACTGTATGGCCGTGGCAAGCTTCTTGCTAACTGTTCTTTAATCTTAAATTAACCCATTTCTATAAATCTATACCTTGCCACGTGGCTGGTGGCTTACCAGCGTCTTCACATGCTGCTTGTCCTGGCGGTGGCTGCAGTGTCTCTCCTCCTTCTTCCTGTTTCCCCAATTCTCCTCTCTCTTTGTCCCACCTATACTTCCTGCCTGGTCACTGGCCATCAGTGTTTTATTTATATAGAGTGATATCCACAGCATCAGATTGTCAAAATTGGCAATAAGCACCCTTACCTGTTAAGCCATTGTAGTGGTTTGAAAAAGATTGGACCTCATAGACCCATAGGGAGTGGCCCCATTAGGAGATGTGGCCTTGTTGGAGGAAGTGTTTCGCTAAGGGGTGGGCTTTGAGGTCTCAGAAGCTCAAGCCTGGCCAGTATGGCACTTTGCTTCCTGCCCATCTGAATGTAGAGCTCTCAGCTCCTTCTCCAGCACCATGTCTGCCTGCACATCACCATGCTTCCCAGCATGATGATAAGGGACTGAACCTCTGGACTGTAAGCTCAGCCACAATGAAATGTTTTCCTTTATAAGAGTTGCCATTGTCGTGGTGTCTCTTCACAACAATAGAAACTAAGAAGGCCATCTTGTCAGCCAAATTTCTATGGATTTTAAAATGACTACTTAGTGATCAGAACCATCATATTGCATAGTGTATGTGAAACTGAAGCTGGGTATGATAGCTCAAATCTGTAATCCAACACTAGGGAGACAGAGGCAGAAGAATCACCATAAGTTTGAGAGTTTGAGGCTACCCTGATCTACATAGTGAATTCCAGGCTAGCCAGAGCTACGTAGTGAGACCCTATCTCAAAAGAAAAGAATAAAGTAAAATATAATAACTGATAAAGAGATTGGGGAAACATGATGTTTATAACTAAAGGCTTTAATTCTAAATTTACACGGGCAATGAAACTTAAGCTCAGGAAATAGGATTCTTAGACTGTGTATTGGCATCAAGAAGCTTATGAAGTGGCAAAGCATTGAGGCTGGGGTGAGGGACCGTTTGTCCAAGATGAACCCCAGTGTGGGCACTTCCTGTCTCCTCATAACCTGTATTCCCTTTAGAGTCCTGCCTTCCTCTGAGTACTTTTCATTCGTGAATGCAAAGGAAATGTTCTGCTCCTGACCCTGTCTAAGGAGAAGAAACTGCATGTGGCCTAGTAGCAATGTTAACCTTGTATACACACGGCCCCAGCAGGAGTGGTAACCCTGTATATACACAGCCCCATCAGGAGTGTTAACCCTGTACACACACAGCCCTAGCAGGAATGTTAACCCTGTACACACATGGCCCCAGGTCTAGCCCCAGTTTGTAAAATGCTCCCCATTGTCCAGACATACTAGCTAATGGGCTTTGTCCCCATGGGGCTTTGCTATCTCTTCAGGGATAAGTGTAGCCTGTCCTTTAGGACCCTCGGGTCAGTGTTCTGCTTTTAGAGGCATGGTGCAAGTTTGCCTAGCAATGCTCTCACAGTGTTTGACCTCAGTGTTTTCTTTATGCTATGAGGATTTTTAGTTT